TCGTGTTAATTTCCCGGTTTCTAGTTTTATTTCTGATATGAAAGTGGTTTGTTTATCTTGTCTTAGAGATTCTGCTAGTAGTTTTCCTGCCTTACCACCCTTTGCGTAGTAGATATGTTTCATTAGTGACAATTTGCGTTAAGCGTGCAATTATAATATAGTTGTAAGTTCTGATCTTTTCGTTAAGATTAGTTTATAGTTGTCTAGGGGAGAGGTGTGTTGTTGTTGTTTATTTTCTAAAACTTTTAGCTCTTAGCTTTAGTGTTAATTGGGTTATTCTTTGCTCCCTCTTGCGTTTTAAAGAAGAGGTTATGCGGATTAGTTCCCCTCTCAAAACCACTTTGTGTGCTTCCCAGATGAGGGAAGGGTTGGTTTCTGGCTGTTTATTCTCTTTAAAGTACATAGTGGCGGCATTTTTAAGTTGTGCTATGGTGTCTGTGTTGTTTAATTTCCATTGGGTCGAGGGGTTCGGCAGAGTTGGAATTGTTAGTGTCAGTGTCATTGTGATTGGTCCATAGGAGGCTGTAGTAACTAAGGGTAGGTACCTATGTTGGAGGAAAAAAAGTGTCTATTCGAGAGCAAGTTTCTGTAGGAGGTGAGAAAAAGGAGTAGGCCTTGCGTGTGGGGTGCATTACTCTCCAGCAGTCGTATAGTTGGGCTTCGTACAGTATGTTGTTAACTTGTTGCCGGATTTGAGTCATGTGTGGTTGCAGTTTAGCTGTGGAGTCTAGTTCTCCGTCCTAGGAGATGTTGATGTCCCATCCCACTTGTAAGATACCTTCCTGAAAATCAGAGAGTTTTTGGAGTGTTTTCTTTAAGAATAGGTTCTGTTTTTTTATTAGGTAGGTAGAGATTGGCCATAGTCAGTTGTGTGTTGCCTTTTGTCCCTTTTACGAACACGAATCTACCGGAGTCATCTGTTAGTTGGTCTTGGGGTGTGAAAAGTGCCTTTTTCCCAATTAATATCGCTACCCCTCTCAATTTAGATTCTGAATAATGCCCATAGAAGCCTTGTGGGTAGTCTTTATTGTGTAGTTTGGGAGCTATATCTTTGCAGAAGTGTGTCTCCTGGATGAAGACTATGTCAGCTTTGTTCCTGCGGAAATCAGATAGTGCTATGGATCTTTTTTATGGGGTGTTTAAACCTCTAGTGTTTTGTGTGAGTATTGTTAGTGAAGACATTGTTGGTATTCTGGTCTGGGATTAGTTGGTTGGTGGTACACCTGTGTAGTCTATGGAAATGTGTATCAGGTATGTGCAGTGGCGGATCCAGAGCCTGATCTCGGGTGGGGCACTTGTAGATTATTTAAATAAATAATCTAGACACAATAACCACTACAGCTCAGTGTAGTGGTTATGGTGTCAATAGTGCCGGGACCCCCTCCCAGAGTAAGTAGTCAAACCGTTTAAGAACAGTTTGACAACTTACCTGAGGTCTGCTGGGAAATGGGGCTGTTGTAGGGCATAGGAGCAGTGGTGTGTGTGAGTGGTGCAATGTGTAAGGGGTACAGTGTGTGTGAGGGGGACAGTGTGTGAGCAGTGTTTGTGTGAGGAGGACAGTGTGTGTGTGTGAAGGTTGCAATGTGTGAGTGAGGGTGGCAGGAGGGGGAGGGACAATGTGTGTGTGATTATAAAAAAAAGCCCCTACCCTTCTTATCACACACATTGCTCCCCCCCCAACACACACACACACTGTCCCCATACATAATAATTAAATTAAAAAAAAAAAAAAAAACCTTCTGTGGCGAAACCGACCTCGCCACGTGTCCTTGGAGGGGGCTGCTTGCCCGCCTCTTGCCTTTGGACTATGGACCAGACTTTATGTGAATGTGTTAACCCAGATAGCTATGCCATGGAGCCCATTCGTGTAGTTAAAGACTTCGGCTCCATGGAGATTGAACTGTGTGAATAGGATCTGAGCGCTATTCGGTAGTTTTGTGCTCTCAGATCCCAGCTATCTGGGGATATGTGACATGTCTGTGTTTTATGTATAAACGGTGACTTTATGTATTTGAAAGTGTTTTATGTCTTTTTGCAACCATGTGCCTCTATCCCTGGATATAATTGGATTACTTTCCCCATTGTCTCCAGGATAGAGGGCTCTGTAAAACCGGTTTGAGCCAGATAGCCATGTGCCAGCCAGGGCCCAAAAGATACTTTTGCTAACTCCTGAACCCTTGGTCTGATTCATGCCATTTTTTAATATGTTGTTACCCTGAATGGATTGAATATGTAATTTTATGTGAATGTGATGTATGGTTTTAGAGTTATGAAAGTTGAGTAAAAAGTATGTTTTAACTGTATGTGTAATTGAGTTTCCTCTCAGGATAAGGGGAGGGAATATGTGGGATGTAACTGTGATGTGATTGGTTTTTTTATACCTCCCTGTGGGCGGTCCTGTATTTGCAAAGACTGTAATAAAAACCAGGCTGGGTGTGCCAGCACTTGAGTTCCTGTTTTAACCCTCAAAGTGAAGTGTCGTCTCATTATTGGGGGAAGGATTTATTGTATGCTGTTCCAGTTTGACTGCTAGGAGAGTAAACCTATTTGTATGGTTCCTATTCAACTGTCTACAGCATTCATATGCTTGGGAGAATTTAAATGTTTCTCCGGTTCGGTGATTGTAACGGATCACCTGGCACCCCGACTGGGTACCTCCATTAAAGGATGCTCCTAGTGCTTCCTGAGGACTCTAAGCACTGCAGCAGAATTTTTACACAATATTTATAACTTCTAAAATCTACATGTCACAAACATAAAACATACATTTTCATAATCAATCCATTCAGGGGAACAACATATTAAAAAATGGCACGAATCAGACCAGGGGTTCAAAAGTTAAGGGAAAGTCCTTTGTGACTAAATGCAGCATGGCTTTCCGGCCCAAACCAGTTTCAGAGTCTTCTATCCTGGAGATAATTGAGAGTAATTCAATTATCTCCCAGGACAGACACAAGACTCCATTATGCACATGGTGAGCACAAAGCATTAAAATATTATAAAATACACAAAGTCACATTTTATACAAAAAACACAGACATGTCACATATCCCCAGATAACTGGGATCTGAGCGCACAAAACTACCGAATAGCGCTCAGATCCTATTCACACAGTTCAATTGCCATGGAGCCGAAGTCTTTAACTACACGAATGGGCTCCATGGCATAGCTATCTGGGTTAATACATTCACATAAAGTCTGGTCCATAGTCCAAAGGCAAGAGGCGGGCAAGCAGCCCCCTCCAAGGACACGTGGCGAGGCTGGTTTCGCCACAGTGATTGTGGTGTCTGCTACAGTGCTTGGAGTCCTCAGGAAGCGCTAGGAGCATCCTTCAACGGAGGTACCCAGTCGGGGTGCCAGGCGATCCGTTACCTTCTTATATGTTTTTTTTAATTTAATTTAATTAAATATACTTTATGTCCCCCCTCCCTTCTTACCTTTAATGAGGGAGGAGGGGGGACATTTCTTGATCCCTGGTGGTCCAGTGGGATTTCCTGGTGGTCCAGTGGTGGTGAGATGAACTCTAGCCCGCGCTCCAGGGCTAGAGTTCACTCTCGCGAGATTTGGAGCGTTGCCATGGTAACCGCGGCAACGCTCCAAATCTCGCGAGAGGAGGACCCGGAGGAGCTGCAGGTAAGAACTCCCAGGTCCTCTCTCCTCCCTCTCCCTCCCCTGCCGGCTGCCAGCACAGTGTCTGCGGACCGGGGAGGGAGATCACTGATCTCCCCGGTCCGCAGGCACATTGCAGGGCTGGCACTTGGACAATGCCAGCCCTGCATCAGCCCCCCCCGGATATGTGTTATTCGTAAGTTGGGACCTATTTATAGATGTAATAAAAGTATAATGAGGTCAAAAGTGACTTAATTGATGAGGTGATTGGAACCTCTGATCATTTCTCAATTCTTTGTGGGTGTAAGCCAGCGTTGTCGTTGTGGGAGGCTTGTTGCTTCTTGCTGTGGTTGTGGAGAGTTCCAGTCTATAACCGGGTTATCTGGTAAGTCTAGAGCTCTGAGGATCGGAGGAATGTCCAGCGGAGAGGTTATTGTCAGCGTGTTTCCTTTGTTGGATACTATTAGGGCAAAAGGAAACCCCCATCTATATTTAATATTTCTGTTTCTCAGGTGTTCTGTGACTTGTTTTAAAGCTCTCCGTGCCTGTAGTGTATACCATGACAGGTCAGGGAACACTTGAATTGGGTGGCCATGGAATAATAGTGGCTGTGAAGTTTCTCTCAGTGACTTCAGAATGTTGTCTTTAATTGACAAGTAGTGCACTCTACAGATGGCGTCTCTGGGTGCATCAGGGGATAGACCTCTTGGACGCAGTGATCTATGGGCTCTATCAAGTAAAATTTGATTATCGCTGGGTTCGCCCAATATGAGGTTAAAAAGTTCTGTAAGTAACAACTCCAAGTTCTCACCTTTGGATTCAGGTAGACCTCTTATACGCAGGTTGTTCCTATGCCCCCGCTTGTCTAGATCGTCTATGTGTCTTTGGGTAGACGCGAGATGTAGTATGTGAGAGTCCACTGTTGTTGTTATATTTGTTAATTGGGCTTGAATTACATCTCGTTCTTCTTCCAGGTCTGTGACCCTGAGGCTTAATTGACGGAGGTCAGTGCCCATGGCTTCCATTTTGGAGAGGAAAGTGGCTTCAAGTTTTCCCATCATTGTCTGCAGTTTTTGGACGGTAAGTTTTTCAACAGCGTTCTGATGTCGGGTTCAGTATTAGAGTCTGTTGATTTATGTGAATAATCTGATGCAGACGGGCTGCAGGGTTGAGGTTTGATCAGTATCCGCCATTTTGTTCATTGCAGATGCGGCCTCGACCTCGCGATCAGAAGAATCTTTGAAGTATAGGGTAAGAGCACCTGATTTTTTTGTGGGGGTTTTCCCTGTTTGCCCCTGTGTCATATTTTGTCTTTTGTGGTTGCTCATGTTAGGTAGTAATCTCTGATTGTTGTGGATTTAAGCCCGGGTCTCAGGGAGCTGTATTAATGTGTGTCCATTAAACGCCGTGGTTGGCCACGCCCCCCTAACTGCCCCAATTATATCACAGGCAGAGGGTGGCGTGGCCAACCACAGAGCTTAATGGACGCACATTAATACAGCTCTCTCAGACCCGGGCTTAAATCCACAACAATCGGAGATTGTATGTGTGTTATGGGAGTGTCGTACAGTTAATTACTGTTCTGATTGGTTTGTCAGCTTTGTGTCGCTATCCGCCACAAGGTCAATGTGGGCATATACCTTGCTTGGGGACTAGCATAAAAGGCCAGCTGTGGCTTCCATTAACCCCTTCACGACCTCGGACGTATCAGGTACGTCCGACAAAAAAGGCCCTTAAGGACCGCGGACGTACCTGATACGTCCTGGGGTAATTAGAGCTCTGGAAGCGATCATGATCGCATCGAGCAGCTCTAATGGTATTACAGCGATGCCTCAATCTTGAGGTATCGCTGTAATACCCCCCTCACTGCCGGGGGCCACCGGAGGTTACCGGGTGATTGCAGTTAGACAGAGCATCAGAAGCCATCAGCAGGGGTCGAGGCACTCAGTGTATATAGCAAAAATAATAATAAATAAATAATTTAATTTTAAAAATGACCCTCCTACCCTCTCTCCCTCACCCTCCTTCTCCCTCCCTCTCCCATGTACTTACCGAACGTCACGCTCCCCCGCCAGCGATCGGTCTGCTTCTTTGGCTCAGTCCAGAGAGTCCCCCCTCTCCAATTTAGGACCCCCAGGGGCCAGGTAACTGCTCTAAAAGAGCGGTCACCTGGCCCCCAAAGGTGTACACAGTACTGCCAGCAGGGGGAATGCCTGAACTGACAGGCAGTCCCCATGCTGATTGAAAAGTAAAAATAAAGTTACTAAAAGTTAAAAAAATAAATAAATAAAAGATAATAAATAAAAACAATATATATGTTAATATATACAAATATTAATATAAAAATACACTTAGCGTAAAATTACACACGTATATATATATATATATATATATATATATAACATAAATAACTATATATTATGTATATATTAAAATAAATAATAATAATAAATAAACTGTAAAAATAATTTAGCAGTAATATCGTGTGTGCAACTTAGTTACTCCTTAATTAACACTTTTATACATATTTTTGTCATTATTATAGGTATGTTACAATTTTTGTTCTCTTACCTATTAGGGATATCCACTTATTAGACACTGTGGACATCTACTGATTATTTTAATTTTAGCAACATTATTAAAGGTTATATTTTAATTTGTTCTAGCCTTGTATATCACTATTTGAGTATTATCTAATACTGTGGACATCTATTGATTATTTCGATTTTAGCAACACTATTACAGGTTATATTTTATTAGGGCACTAATCCTCTCTCTTTTTTCTTTTTACTACCTTTGTAGTCTCCTTTGTAGTCCCCTATATGAGTGTATTCCCTTAGCTTCCTCCGTTTTGTTCTTACATATCTAACGAAATAGTATCAAAAATACCAAGAAGCTATCAATATAAACTTGAAATAAATCTCCAGAGAAGCATAAATTGTTATTGAGTTATAAAAAAAATAAAAATCTTCCAAATGTGTAATATACCTGCAGCACTGTTAAATCTATGGTTTAAATAATAAAAAAATAAAAAAAAACACAAAAAACAAAAACAAATGGAAACAATAGGGCAAAACCACGATTCTACCTTGAGATGGCCATGTACTGAAGCAAAGTAGTAACTGAGTGAGGATTTCCTCAGTTCGGGAAGCAGCCAATGACCCAAAAAGTATTTTACATCATCAACATGTTCCTTAAATTTAAATGGTAAAAAATCTCTATTAAATCAATTTTATTTCCATGCTGAAATATAACAAAACATGAAACAAATATTCTGACAATTCCCACTATAGTTACATATTCATTCAAAGATAAAAACAAACCCTTTCCCCCCCTTTCTGAAAAATATACCCATGTCCCTTTAAGGGATTGTGAAGATATTTATTCCCAATATAATGTATAAAAATCTCTTCAACCAAAATGAATTAATTTCATTTAGATTTTTTTTTAAAGCCGTGTGTTTTACTGTTTTTTCATTGCCATTTTATTGGTTTCTCTAACATTGTACTAATGCCTTATATTATGGATAGAACAGAAAATTTCCTCCCTCATAAACCTAAACCTATCCTCATATGACCCCACTTTCAGGGGGCCACCGTGACACCCACACACCCTAACTGCATATCTGGAACCCTGCGTCTCCAGCCCAGGATAGTTCCCATCACATTTCTCTCACTTCGGAAGGAGACCATCGCAGGAGGAGACCTTAGATGGGTTGACTTGCAAGTTAGTCAGTACATCCAAGCCACCAACGCCATCATCAAATCGGTACCCCAAACAAATTGCCCATGCAAGAGCAGCACCAGCCAACCTCTGCCTCTCCCAAAGTATATATCCACCAATTGGGAAAAGTGTCAACTGCCCCTTCTCACTGGAGTCCTCTCAGTGGTTGAAAAGAAGGCAGGGTAGCAAGTCTGACACATGGTTGGGGATCTTGCCCAACTGTCACGCATCCCTGTGATCTAGGTTTGGAGACAACAGTCCCAACCACACCTCCCATTCCAACATCCTCAGGTGTTTGTGGACAGAAACCAGTGGTGTGTTGCCCAGATTCCAGCTCTTTAGCTCGGGGATGTGTGTTCTCCTCAAGCTCCACCGTCAGTAGAAGGCTGTACTCCCTGCTCTCAAGCCCCAGCATTGCTGCAAGTTGGGGGCAGAGGTCAGTGGTCCTCTGTTCTGATGTCACCTTTTCTGCTGGGGTTTGCACTTTGCCCCGGGAGGAAGATCGGCCGTCTCCTCCACCTGTAAAGCAAACTGCAGCTGGGGAGGGAGACAGCCCATCTCCCCTTCCAGTAACTCACACCACCACTGGGGAGAGAGACCAACTATCTCTCTTCCAAGCTGCTGAGGACCAACAACCTCTACCTCTGCTCCCTGTGTTGCCATGCCAGGAGGTGGATGATCTGGAAAAGCTGCCCAGTATCCCTGTGATTCAGGTGTGGAGAATACAGTTTCTTCCACATCTACCTGACAAACATACTCAGATGTACTCATACTCAGTCTATTAAATCCCCAGTCTCTGGTACATGCTGCTGTACAGAGTCAGACAATTGCATGTAATCCAGTTCAAGCTCCCACTCCATGGTGGCCAGGTGGGTCAAATCAGGTTTCAGAAAGCCAGGACCTCTCAGGACTTCCGAATTCAATTATATCGTCAAAGGCCTCCCACAATAGGCCAGGACAATCATAGCCCTCACCCTTTGTAGGGTTGTCATCCGCTAGAAATGAGTACTGCTGGACTGCATACTACTTTAAGGCCCAGTAAGAATGATCCAGCCACAATTTTTTCGGGACCATCTCCTCTAATTTGAACAACCATTCCGCCAGGGATGCTCTCCCAAGAATTGCATCCGCAAATCAACTTGATCCCAAAATCGTTGTACAATGGTTGGGAGGCATTTTCCACGGAGACCACAAACCACCTCAAGGACATTGTTCCAGAGATGCCTCCGGATTGTGTTCACCATTCCAGTTCGCCCTCTCTCTGGGACAGAACTGCTTATAACCTCCACTGGAATTCCTCCTCGGGTGGGGATGCAGCACAAGTGCTAGCTTTAGCCATCTCCACGAATTCCAGAAGGCACGCAGGGGTCCCAGTCATGGTTTGAAGGTCAACCAATCGCTAGAAAGCCATCCCACCGCTGCCAACCAATGTGACAGAGCTCCAGTACTCCAACCGAGTGCCTTTGCCAAGTTCGCTTCCTTGTAGCTATCAGGGACCCTGTAGAACTTCAGACCCAGTCGCCGAGGCTTGACTGGGATCACTGAGGGCCTTTTCCACCTTGGACCAGGCTACTTTGATTTGGACACACTTTTCATCAGCAGATTATATCCCTTTCCCCAAACACCAGACGACACTTGGTGAAGGTTAAAACAGCAACTAACTTTAATAGACATAGCACACATAATTATACCCCTCCTTTACATACAATGGGGTGAATAGAGTACTACAGTACTTGGAAGGGTGGGGCTAGACAATAGCAATAGCAAGGGCTGAGATCCAAATGAGAGATTGAGGAGGAACAGGGCAGCTAGTTTACACAGGTCTGGCAGTGTCCCTGGGACGACGCCCTGCTGGGAAACAATGAAAGGAAAAAGGGGGAGGGGGAGAGGTACAGACAATTAATACATTCAACATACCCTGCACCAATAATGGGCACAGAGTGACCAAAACACAAGAGGAATATGGGGGACCCACACATAGTGTCTGTCTTCCATCCCCAGTGATTGTGACTATCATCACAATCCCACTTTGTGCAGGACATCATGGTACGCCTTAAAGGCATTAACAGGTTAATGTAAACACAAATTACAAACATTTAAAGACAAATAAAAACTGATATGAAATAAAAGTTAACACAAGGTATAAATGATTTTCAATGTTTTATGCAATGGTGTAATTTCCATAAAAAGGAAAGTTCCACTTCAACTCGCTCATCATTAACATAATGATTCCATAAGAGTAAGAAACAGACATACCAATGACGTTTGCTTGCCTTTTTGTAGACCTGACTGTTCTCCATGTTTTTGGTCATTTGTTTCATACAATTTATTCAATGCTAGATACAGAAATAAAATAAGTTACTGTTGATGCCATGTGTATTTTTATTATCTTTGGTAACATAATATTAATAATAATAATAATAATAATAATATAAGAAGAAGAAGAATTAAAAAAAAATTGACATACTGTGGTTTTATGTAGATGCCTAGCTGTTGTAACAGTATATTAATTCTATAAAATATATGTGCAAAATAACTATTAAGCACCATCTACATAACACTTACTGGTGTTTGGGGTGGTATCATGCGTTTTTGGAGATTGTGGCTGCCCTGCCTTTATTTCTGCGTTTTCATTCTGTTTATGATCAACTTCTGACTCTAAAATACAATTAGAGTCAACAAGCAGCATTTAGTACTTTATGTATGTAATATAAACTGTCATTTAAATTCACATTGACCATACATACAAATATAACAAAAATGTAAACATGC